GGGGGGGGTACCGCTAGTACTCACTTGGTTGCCCGTCCGCCCTCCCTAAAGTCGTCTGTTTTGAAGTTAGCAGATTATAGGGAGAGCCGACTACGACAAACGCGAAGACCATATCGCACAACCAACAGACCTTTACCGAGATGGCGGCCATGTTGAATTCTACTGATTTAAGGAAGACATTATAGGATGTCGAGGAGACAACTATTGTAAAATTTATAAAAGCAGATCTAAAAAGCCAATGAATTTACTGGTAGTTGAAACAATATGCGAAAAACCAAGACTTCAAATTCTTTGAAAACGTGATACGAGCCCCGCCACTCAATATGCATGCTTTATAAAACACCTACGTGTTTGCCCCCTCGGCATCCCATGATTCAAGATGGCCGCCGTATCAGTTATACGGTCTATTGCGAATAGACCTATCCCGAATTCGCTCGACTGACCACGAAACAATGGTTTGATGTCGAGACTGAACTTGATTCTTTTATTCATCAAGTTCAACCTCGACTTGAAACCATTGTTTCGTGACCAGTCAAGCGAATTCGGGATAGGTCTATTCAATGTTTTTTTAAAAACAGTAATGCTGTATGAAAGAACGATTATTTTGAAATGGGGGAAGCACGTAGCAATATATCTATTTTTCCACGGCGGTATCTACGCAAACCACCCGACATGGCGCGGGCTACGACTATAATTCTTTGTTAATATATTCAGGCTAATTACAGACATTTAATATATATATATATATCAGTTGCTATAAATGAGTTTCTCTTTCTTGCACACTTTAAAGATATAGACATTAGAAAATGTCGAACCTCACATGAGCCGAACCTAATGACATCAAAGAAGACGCCTTGTTATCCATTGTTTCAATTAGGTTCGGCTCAAGTGAAGTTTGACCTGAGCATTGTTCCCCCTGGATTGATACGTCACTAAGGCAGCGTCCCGGTACCACACAAATGGCTTTCTTACAGTCACATGTAATATTCTCTAACGAACACTGGCATACGCATAATATTAATTTAAAACCTAGTTATTAATTTCACTATTTTAAAAGTTTAAAGCATTAAATGATTATATCATAGTTTGTATATTTATATTTACACAATATATATAAAATAAGTAAAAATGGCTATGTATTATTCGTAAATATTTATCGCGAAATGGCCTTGCCTTTCGCCGTTGGGGAAATAAGGGCGAGTAGCTATCCCTGTCGCTATATAGAGATTGGTACCATCTCGTGATGGCAGCCATGACAGGAGGCAGGAGCAATAGCCTACTTCAGAGTTATGCTTCGCTTGTCACGCACAAAGGATTCAATGCGAGGTTTCGTGCATAATGCTCAGTGATTCGTGACAAGAGAAAAGAACAAATTGAATGAAACCAGTGTGCGTGACAAGCGAAGTATATCACCGAAGTGGGCTATTGAATCTGGTCTAATCCGATTCACACGAGAAAGAATTTAGTTTCCCAGGGGAAAAAGACTGTTGTTGTGCCTCCTGTCATGGCTGCCATCACGTGATGGTGCAAACTGCCTCATTTCGCATGCTAGCTCGAGGCTTTTCGATCACAAGATTCCTTTCAGAGCTGTAAATACGAGTACTTCTACGAACCAATGAAAACAATGCTACACCAAACATAACCTGGAAGCTATGATGTTTAACCTCCGTGAGACCGCTCGATTCAACTATTTCTCACAGAAACATGTTTTTCCAGACATCAAGGTCCTGTCCATGAGTATCAGAGTATTTTAGAAAACGGATTTTTTATTTGGTTTTCCAAAAAATTCTCTTCCACACGTACCGTTATCAAAAAGTTGCTTTTTCAAGGCCGCAATCTAAAGAGAACTGAAAAACTCCGTTTTCTAAAATGTCCGGCTGCGTATGAACGGGGCCCAACTTATGAATATTTGCCCCAAAATTACCATTTTAAAAATTCTCTATCTACAATCACCTAAATTATACAAATTGTTGATTGAAATGATCTAGTTCTTGATCCTATAGTATTACATTTTTAACTTTTTTCATCAGAATTCTCTCCCATAATATTTAGATTTTTGCATTCTTGTTAAGACCGCGATCGAATACTTTCTAAAATTCGAGAAAGATTGGTAACCAATACACCTCGCAAATATGCCGCTGACGTTTTGGACACCACAATGCCATGCGCGTTGAGTTTCATAAACTTTTCCCTTTGATTCGGCTGAAAAACAAACATGCGAGGTTTACTTGAACATGGTTTGCGGTGACGAGGCAATCCACTCTCTTACACAACGTTTCGCTAATCTGTCCCGAAATTCACTGGAAGACTGTAAATGAACTTAATAAATTCTGTTCAATTTGTGCGACTAAATTTAGGGAAGTAACATTGGAGAGCTTTTCGACCCTTAATTCAGCAATGAATGCGCTCTTGTTAAAAAATCTCCCTCCCCCCAAAAATATCGCTCAAATATGATGTTTCCACGAATGGCCTTTAAGCATGCAAACTGGTCTATCAGAATTAAAGCCGACATATTTGATATGACTGCAACGAGTAAAATAATTTTCCCCTCCCGACGGCTGAACTCATCCCTGCGTTTGTCGACACCCTAAGTATTCAACCCATGGACCATAGAAAGTAGCTCGCTTGTCGACACCCTAAGTATTCAACCCATGGACCATAGAAAGTAGCTCGTTTGTCAACACCCTAAGTATTCAACCCAAGGACCATAGAAAGAAGCTCGCTTGTCGACACCCTAAGTATTCAACCCATGGACCATAGAAAGAAGCTCGTTTGGTATCGTAACCATATCCCTATTATAAGTCCCGGGTTCTAAATTAACCCGCGGGATAAAGACACTACCCGAGGGAATGAGCTGGGCCGTATGCGTAGATAAACTTTGGTGGTGGATCAAAGGCGGGGCTGGGGGCAAAGAATGTGCCGGGGCACGAATCAATTGCTCTGCTTCGGATTGAATCGTTTCACTCGCACACGGCTCGCTCTCTTCGACGTCTTCGTCAGACGTGATATCCTCTCGAGTTGGTGATTCAAAATGAGTGCCAGCACTAATGGCTTCGTTGACGACTGCGAGACCTACAGTGATTTGGGTTTCGTTGATCAAAGCCTTTTCCTGTGAGGTAGGTTCTTCTGTCTGTGTGTCCACTGTCATTGTCGCCATAGTCGCCATCGTCGGCATGTCGGTTGTCTTCTGACATATCGCATCCATGTCGTATTCAATTTCGGGATGGACTGTTCGCAAATGTTTTTTCAGCTTCGCCGGTCCTAAGAATCCACGTTCACAGGTAGGGCAGATGTAGCTGAATTCTTTCGTGTGAGTTTTTATGTGATCGTTAAGGTTGTCGCGTCTCGCGAATCCTTTCTCGCATTTCTCGCACTTGTATGGCTTTTCTTTGGAATGTGTAAAAAGATGACGTTTTAATTTGTCTTCTCTATAGAATGTGCTGGTACAGCCAGTGTGACTACGGAATGGACAAGGGAAAACCGGACGGTTTGCATATGGAATGTGGATTAACTGGTGCCGTTTGAGTTTATCTTTTCGCGAGAAGGCCTTACCACACTCTTCACACACATGCTTCTTGACAACCGCGTGTACCGACCTCTTATGCGCTCGACAGTTGGCAACGGAAGTAAACGCCTTACTGCAAACATCACAGCTAAAGTTTCTTTCCACTATATGGATTGCTTTGTGTCTTCTAAGGTAGATCTGTGAATGGAATACCTTGTTGCACTGATCACACGTGTGCACGTGCGTCTCGGTCGCCCTGTGGTTTTCGAGCGATTCGGGAGTATAATACCTCTTGCTACAATCACTGCACTTAAAATGTTTCTTGTGCATTCCAGTATGTTCTCCTCGCTCCTCCTTCGTGCGAAATTCTGCAGGACACTTATTACATTTGTATATCCTCTTTGAATTGGTTAAATATATTGGCACAAAAACACTAGTTGCTTCTTGTTTGCGCGCGCCTTTGGTCATGATAGCCTCGTTGCCACTACCTTCTCCACCAAGGTGCACAAGTTGGGATTCAGGGATGTGAACGGTCACGGTACAATCTTCTTCTTCGTTGCTTTGTGTTGTCTCTCCTGGTGGGGGTGTTGATTTGGATTTTCGGGTTGTTTTTGGGGTGGAATTTTTTCGTTTGTGCCTCTTTTTTGGTGTTGCTGTGGAATAGGATTTTTTTGGTTTCAAAACCAGGTCTTTGTGACTGTTTTTACATTAAACATTAAAAATCAACCACACCCTAAATCTATTGTTTGATGTCGGGGGCGGAATTGATATCAACAGGGGAGAACGGGGCTGAATTATAAACCCGGGATAGGTTTTTAATTACGCGGATATATTGTAAGCGCTCTATTTCCAAAAGAACAAAGCAACAGTAATCTTCCTCTCTGAATTCAATAGTATTTAGTATTTCGTGTTTTGCATCGAAACAATGGAATTTAGGGCTTAGTTGATATTTCAAACCAGTTCAAACTCATAGGCACAGTTTTACATTAGAATTCAAGACGTTGGGCCTGCAGCCCTTGGTCATGAATACTAATGCAAAACCTCGCCCTAGTGTTTGAAACTTTATTTAAATATGTACAATATGAGCGGCTGATCTGTACAGGCTTTTTTGAAGGGAAAATATGACAAGATGGTGAAAAAAAAATTTTTTTTTTAATTAATCTTTCCATACAGTATTACATTTACTGGTTTCCATTTATTAACTACATCTATTTTACTTACCCACTGTGATTTGTTCCTGCCGTAACTCAACTTGTTCTGTCTGGGTATTATCTTCTTGACCCGTTACCATATGAACATCAACAGGATCAAGTAACTCCACAACTACTTTATTTGTACACTTATTTCCTTCAGTATCATCTGTTATGATAAGAGTCTTTCTTTCAAGTCTCTCATTGGTGTCGCTACCCACTGTCTCCCCCTGGGGCGACGAAAGCTGAACCTCCACATGCTGTGATGCATGGTCATGGGGGAGGTTGATAGGTATGACAGGATGGCTTTTTTCTCTTGATTTTTGGCAGAGTTTGGATTTCTTGTGCTCGATGTAAGCTGTTAAATCTGTGAAGGATTCCTTGCATCTTCCACAAACATGAATGTCTACCTCATCATCTGGTGAAAAAATAAATAGATAAATAAGAATAAAATAAAATGATTGTCATTAATTGAATCATATGGGATCATCATGTTTCTCCTTCCCTTTTCTCTGCACTCCTTCCTAACTCACTCCTTTTTCACATCAGAAGAGAGTTTTAAAATACACACTAAAATTGGCATATTTTTCACACAACAATTGATTCTTCATATATGACAACACTCAGGTAAACAAAGTCTTCAACTTGACTCCAAGGCTTAAAAAAACAATGGCCGGTCATCAGACAATGACTGGCCAGAAATGTAACTTGTCCAGTAAACCAGAAATGGGGTATAACTGAGCTACAACTGATTTGATAGCTATCATGGCCAAAAAACTGACCGGCTGTTAGAATCTCGCCAGATGTTTGCCATATTCAAATAAATGTAAACTTCCTTCAGCTACCAGGCTGATATCTAGAGGGGCCTTGCAAAACTTTTTCTTCCCATAAACCATTTTTAATTTCAAAATGTATTCATTATTCCAGGAGCAAAAGTCAAAATAACTCTAGCCACCAAAGGATATTATCAGTCTTTGCTTCAGAACTACTGTTGCATACCACATGATTGTCATGTGCATTTTGCACTAATTTGTACAATTTGTAATATATACAGTATGAGTGGCCGTGTTGTATCAGATATACAACCACAAGGCATAGCTGAGTGATTGTATATCTGATACAACACGGCCACAAATACTGTATATGACTTATCAAACGTCTAGGTTAGTTCCTTTGTGTTTCGCTAAAATTTTCAAAATTAAAGTGAATTTGGCCAAGAAAATCCAACTTAAAGTTTATGCAAATGAACACAGTTTTGTATCAGATTTAGAACACTCTTCACGGTCGTGATTTCTGTTGTGTTTTCCTCATGAATTATTAATGAGTTTAATAATGTTAGTTTACAAAAATAAATTGTACAAATTAGTGCAAAGTTTTGTACGTAGGTTTAACTGAACTTACTAATTTGTTTAAATTTGTGCAATTTCTCACACATTTTTTAACAAATATTATATGGTATGCACTCCAAGAATTTAAAACTAACCTGAACTATTGGCCACAGAATGACCTTGTGACTGAGGTAATGGCTGTAAAAAACAAAATTACAGTATTAAAAATTATTTCCCTGGTTGCTGTAGGGCTTTTTAATAAATTCCATCAATTCCATTCTTTTCAATTTCATTTTGAATATTTTTTCAAAAGAATGAATTTACACAAATCAACAATGACAATTTTTTCCCTATAGTCCTATAGGACTTTTTAATAAATCCCACCTCATATTATTTTCCAGCTTTGACATCAAATCCATTCTCAGGGTTCGTGCTACATTCTCGTTACAAAATTCAAGGACTTTTTAATCACTTTTTGAGCACAAAAATTCGATTTTTCAAGGACAAAGTTTTTTGTATTAGAACGTGGTTTTAAACATTGTTTCATTGTTAAAGTGCAGCTAATTCAGGCGGGGCCACAAGCTTAGATAAAAAACGAGCATGACACGCAACCAACCAGTAAACATGCAACCAGAAACGCTTCAATCAATTTTTATCCTTATTTATTTTAAAAGGTAAGTTAGAAATAACATTAAGTTTGCATTAAATTCAAGGAGTATTCCAGGAGTTTTGGCGTTTTCCCCTATTTCAATGGCTTTTCAAGCACCCTTGAAAACGTGTTTTCAATTCAAGGACTTTTCAAGGATTTCAAGGAGTAGCACGAACCCTGCATTCTTTTCAATTTCATTTTGATTTTTTTCTTCAAAAGAATGAATTAACATTATACACAGCAAATAAGTCATAATGGTATTTATTAAAAGGGTCTAGATTTATTATTACTATATTTACCATTTTTATTATATACTATGATATGAGAATTTTTAAGGAGTTTCTCCCTCTAGAAGTTTTTGATAAACCTCTAAAACAAGGCGCCGATGCTTCGTCAAACTAAAAAAAAACATTGCTGCATTGGAAATCCCACCACTGGCAGGAGTATCAATCCAAATAAAATAAAAAAATGCGTAAGAGTATATTTAACATAAGTAGTTCCTTCAGTTTCAATTTAACTGCTATCAATGGAGGCCTGCAGTTCACACTTTACCCTCCCCCCCCCCCTCCCCTCCCTCAGTGCTCTGTTTTAAGAGTATTCAAAGTCGAAGATACATGTACATGGATTAAAGAGAACTCGAAACAGGCATGGAGATACTGGGGATCGAACCATGGACCTCAAACTCTGATGGCTGTGCATTAACCAACCCAGGTAGCCTTCTTTTTTAATATGGTTTTGCTAGGGCTTACAGAATGCTTACTGTATGTAGATCCAGAAAAAAAAAGAAAAACCACAAAAATGCCTAGCAAATACACATTAAGAGGAATTTTTTTCAATAATGAGCAATAATGGCAAAAAGCACCAAAAACTAGACTTTCATATGAGTTTTGATCCCAATTTTCAATTTGGGTTAACATTCAAAACCTCTTTTAAACAGTTAGAAACTGATGTACTGTGATAAAAATTTATGTTTGGAGTGGTATTTTCAATTGTATGAAGATGTTTTGTTGCATTTGTGATAGAATGTTGCTACGTCAGGCTTTTTTATAGAAAATATATGGGATATAAGCAAATGAAGGCCTAAACCTCATTTTCGAATAAAATTTTTGCTTTGGGTTAACAACATTTTGATTCCACTTTCATTGGTCATCTCCACTTCAAAACAAGTTAAACTTTCTGAATAACAAGATTTTAGCCTTGTACAACAGCCTTTCTTCAAGAAAATAGTTTTTGGCGCTCACTGCTTGAATACGAAAAGAATTATCTCTTAATATAATAATAAAAAAAATAAAAAAATGGGATAATGGATCAAATGCTCTGCATTTGTAGATATAAAAAATATAAATGTCTTGCCTGGATTAATTGGAGACATATTCAAACATCAACTTAACATAAAATAACAATATGCCCCTGTAGGGTAGCCACAGGGAGTAATTTGCAGGGTTTTTTGCCCCGAGGGGAAATAGCAGGGGCTATGCTTACAACAAAAGCATTACTACAGTAAGATTGATTAACAGGAATAAATCTTCAAATGTTGTTAATAAACAACTTGGCATTTAGTTGAGGCATAGTAAAAAAAATAATTGATCCAAGTTGTGTGTTAGCAAAAAAGGAAAAAAAATACAAGGAAAAACTAGGGAGGGGAGGATTGGATGTTTTGCGTTCACATAAACAAAAAAAGCAAATTTGTGAAACTAGTTTTCATTTGTTATGTTGCTGTTGTAAATCATGCCAAAGCTGCATCATTAAATCTTAAAAATAAGTTAAGAAAGCTCCCGCTGTAAGTAATATTCAAAGCGCTGTTTAGAAGGCGATGCAAATTTGACCTTTCGAAGTTTTCGCGAAGCGGAAACCAAAAAAGAGATTTGGGTAAAGTAGTTGTCTCCGGCCCCAGAGAAGATAAGGTTACAACATGAATTGTGTTACAACTTGAAAAATTCTAGGCATTCCTCTTAGAATAAAACGTAGATACTATCCCAGAGGTAAAACTGCGAGAAATACTTCGACTGCTTTTATTTTAGCTTGTCTATCTCTTGTCGAACGCAAGGAAAAATAGCGCAGATTTAGGAACCATCGGTAAGAAAACCTAGAATATTATGCAGAATTAAGTATCTAGTACTGACTTTGATCCCTTCAATAATTCGCGTATTTATTGGTGGAAATACAACGGAATAGTAACCATCGAGAGATCCTTAGAAAAATATTAGCATTAAGACAATTATGTACAAGAAAACAGCCTCACCTCACTAGACTCATCCGCCATTTTGAAAAGGTCGTTCCCTCCTGGATGCTTTCGAAGAATTTCCTTTTTCTTCCAAATTTTAGGATCACCGTCGTAGAAATACGACCAGAAGTGTAAGATATTAATTCAAGAACAGGCTGAGATGGTGCAGTAACTTAGGGATGTCATCCAAGAGGAATTTTAAGTGCGAATTCGAAGCCCTCTTGGGTCTCTGCTGGAGGCGAAGAAGAACGCTTATACCCGAACGGCACTGCGGACTTGGAGAAAACACAGGCTACCCAACTCTTTTTTCTAAGTAGTTTCATTGGTTACCAGTCGTTTCGCACAATTGCCTTTTCGAACGAACCCATTCGCACAACTATGACCTGTTCGCACAATTCCAAAATTCGTTTAGCACAACTTTTATATGACTATATATATGAAATCGAGATTACTTCTCTAATCTTTAGAAGTATATTTCTTTGAAAAACAACTTTTATATTTGATAAAATTAATRATAACATGCRTTTTAAGTGCTTGTTTCGATAGCGTTAGAACGACCTCACTTTGTGCATTTCCCGGTTAAAAGATCGCTCCCTCTTCTTATGTGAACATTCAAATTCTACTTCTTAAGCACTACACTTTATTTTTTGACTTTATTATTTGCACTAAAAAACTAAGACGAAATGATCTATTGCCTTTCTCTGGAATAAATTTGAGGTCATCATCTGAATGTAAACGCCAAAAACTTAACGATTGAGTGGAACAATCGAGCTCAGTTTACGGTGTTTCATAGGCCGGGGTCTTTTCGCTACCAATAAGTTTTTAGTCTCCGTAGAGTAGTTCGTTGAAAACATTACAATATCCTTCTTCTTCATCGAAAAATCGAATGTCTAGGACATATTTATTGCTTCTGACTTGCCAAGGTTCGAGCGAGAAAAACCAAAATACCTTTACGCTTTATTAAATGAGCGACGCCCATGTTGTCTTGTTTTCGTGTAATCAACAAGCTTATTAGTCGTTTATAGTCGCTTTCTTTCCTAGTCGCTTTCTTTACCTAGAATCCATTAGACTTCATTCTTTTCACTAATAAAGTTAAAGGAAAAGATATGGTGCTTTGAGATAAGAGATGTCGTGTGTTGCTGAATCCGACATCTACAAAAAGAATATTTTTTGGCGTTTACATTCAGATGATGACCTAAAATTTATTCCAGATAAAAAGAGATTATAATAAACTTTGTATCCACTATATTATTCACTAATTCCTTTCTTACTTATCAACTTTTTATTTTATTAGTTTTCCTCTATTCGGCACTCTATTTGTTTTTGTTTTTTTGTTTTTTGTTTTTTGTTTTTGTTTTTTGTTTTTTGTTTGTTTGTTTGTTTGTTTGTTTTCTTTTCATTTCGATTGAAACTAATAATCAACGCCTTCTATCAAATACATACTTAAATGCAAAGTATTTACTAGTACTCGGACCATTTAATTTACAAAACCCAGTAATTAACTGAAAGATCATCTCAAAAGCACGCAGTCACCAAATAAATTATAAACATCATAGTTTACTTCCATTTCAAGCCTCTTGGAAATATTCTGTTTGAGTTAATTTTTATCCGAATCTTGTTCATCTTAACATTGTATTTTTGGCCATTTCAGACCACGCGTGTCACTCTCTAGAGGGTAACATTCTTTGTACGTGATTACCAAAAACATGTTTTCTTAAATGTCTCCAAAGGCGGCAAATCTGTCAGGAAACATCGGGAAACGTATTTACTTAATATCGGTGAGCGAGTGACACGTTTACATATTCAGGCCCCTCACAATAACTCGTTTCTACGCTTCGCGTATCCACGAGTTAAAAACGGCTTTTTATGTCACTGCATTGCGCGCAATGTTGCATGCAATCGATGTTGCGAGCCATGATACACAACGAAACGTTGCTGAAGTAGAAAACTATCCTACTTCACTGGAAGATAAACAAGGCATATACATTGTTGAGGCTCATTATGCACTAGTCAATTGAAACCCCCACCCCCCGACCCCCGCGAAATACCGGAGAATTTAACATTTGAGTGGTCTTAAAATCAGACATTTCCCCCGGTAGTCGGGGGCACATTCACTGTTAAAACCCCCGCTATTGTGGCCCCGTTATTTTGGTTTAGTAGTCAACAAGAAACACATTTCACGCCAACTCCAAATTCTTGTGCTACACAGAGCCAATTGTTGTGTGTTCCATGTACTAAATATTCAATGCTCAATATTTTCATGGGCTCTGAACCTCAAATCGTGCGAAAACGTTTAGGTTTACGTCTAGTCAGCTGAGAATTCAATGGTAGTGAATTAAAAATGAACAATGCTTGTAAATATTGCGAAGCATTAGTTTTAATAGATTAATCATGATCTGATTCTACATTCGAACTGACCGAAACGACTGAACAAAACCCGCGTATAAGAACCTGGGTTTTTTTAAAGAACCTGTTAGGCTAATATTCTCACTTTAAGACCCTTCCACATTGAGAACCTATTAAGGCTACAATTTTAAGAAAGGTTCTTATCAGTGGAGTTCAGTGTAAAAATGTATAGGTAGAAACTGCTATAAGTTTGTTTGAGCATGTCCCGGGGAGCATGTGTTTTGTGTAGAACATACTGTCCTGTACTAGGCTACGGGCTGCCTGTGCTTGGAATCACAACGCCTTCTTGGTATTTTTCAAGATGGCTGACCTCTTGTTTCCAGGCCCTTACATATTCAAACGAGCGTTAAAATCCCCGCTCGATTCCCCGCTGAGAAAACCATTCGTTAAATCCCCGAACCCCCGGTGCAATCATGCTCTTAAAAGCACATTAAAAACGCGTCACGTCCCCGTTCAGTGCCCCGCTAGCCGCGGGGGTCGGGGGGCGGGGGTTTCAATTGACTAGTGCATTAGACCTTTTTATCTCTGAAAATCACACTTTTTCTCGATCAAATTTGTGGCTTTTCTTTTGTATTTCCATGTCAGCATCGCATTCAAAGTTTACTATGAATTTCTACACCTTTAATAGTCGTAATGTTTTCCCATTTCAGATCATGTTACGTAATTTTCATGAGAAAAATAAGATTCTTTGTTTGAATTTCACGTGCATCCGTTAACAAAGAAATGATACTCAAGGGAATAACAAGTGGTATGAAATGGGAAAATTTTACGCCAAATGTATAGAGGTTTTCACTCACGTGAGAAGGCAGCCATAAACAATAGAAACTTTCTGCACAGTATTTACATAAAAGTAGAGTTCAATTCCCAGAGGATAGAAAATGTATTGTTTTGGTACCCCATAATGGACGCTGTGACGTCACGTGAAAACGCTCTGTACTTGTATTGAGCCTCAACAATGACGATATCTTCCCGTGCGTCTCGGGAAGACAAGAGAATCATTCTCAAGGGAATGGCACGTGAATATCTTGTTACTGGGCTTCACTTATCATATAAAGCGGTTTCCCTGATCAGAAAAATTAGAGTTCAACTGCGAGTGGATGTCGTCGCAAAGAGATCTGTAAAAGACATATATATTCTAAATGAAACTTCTACATAATTCTACAAATCCTCTATCGAAAGGATAGCGGGGAAAATGGTTGCATTCTAAGGTTAGTATATTTAGTTTTTGATTCGTTCAAACGAAATTCCATCGTCAGCTAGGTTCTAATACCTCTTCCTTCAGTCTTTCACACGCTAAAGTCTCGCACAACTCTTCTGTGTGGGAAATAATTTCAGGTTCTTTCAGAATTGGTCCTTCGGTTCGGACGACAGTTAAAAATACACTGTGAAAAGTAGTTTTTCGTGTGCTATCCGGCATATTCAGTTGCTATACTATAATCCATGTGCTTCTCTGCATCAACTGCGTGATTTCTGGCTAGCCTTATTACGAGTTTTTATTGGTTTCTTTTGTTACCGAGACTAAATCCATTTTTCATTTTCTTGAAACCGTGAAATTTTAAACCCGTGCAAAGATTTAAATAAATAGGTCCGGATATGACCGACTACCTTAAAATATAATTCTTTAGCTTACGAGTGAGTAATGTTTTTATATTTGTTTCAGACTACGGTTCATTGGAAAAAATATGAACTTCTAGTCAACACAGCCCCAACAAGGAATTGCCGAACGAATAACTGAAGAGCATTGAATCGAATACACTAAAAATAAAAGAGTTAAGAAAGTAAAGTGCAAGGATGCCTGGAGGYGATATTAAAAAGAAGGTAATGTCAACTTTACTACGTTTTTTCCTTGCATTTTTAGTTGCTTGATATAAAGATACTTTTAGGTGCATTTTAGTAATAAATAACTAGTTGTAAAAGAGTTTACACTGTTTTCATTAGACCTGATGATGTTGTCGAGATGGCAGCGCGGAAAAGTTGTCTTTTACAACTCCATTTTCAGTTGAGAATTCAAATACACTCGGATTTAAAGGTTCCTTTAAAAAAAAACTCCGTTTAAAAAAATATCCAGATCGATACGCGTGTACAGGGTCTGGATTAGATAAGATTGGACCATGTTGTGATTATAATACTTGCATGTGTTTTATTTAGAAATACTTTAGCATGTTTCCTTTTCAGCGAAAGACGTATAAAATATAAAAACAGCACATGTATGCACAAGAAGAAATAACTGCCAGTAGAACCTCTTGTACCTTGTCCGGAACGAACCAGCCCAGATGTGATTGCCGCTTGTAAACAAAATATGTAGATATATGAATGGATGAAGCAGCTGCATGATTGGACAGATGGACGAATGAATACAGCTAGTACATATGAAAGATACCGCAGAAATGTCCCAAAACAGGTATATATCTCGTACTGAAGCAGTGCTCTTGTTTTTGAAGCCGGAACGCTAGCATTAAAGTATTTGATTATTATTTTGCTCGTTCCTTCAGCGGCGTCGTTGGTCCATTCTCGACCACCAGCTCTTAATGACGTAATGCCTTTTATTCACTATGATTATAAAAAAAAAAAAAAAAAAGTATTGGAATATTCTAGGGTTTACAGGTCACAAAAACATGTAACATGTAAAGTAATTCCAACGTACCTCGATTGAGGATTTCTTTTTCTTTATCCATAATCAGCTGCAGGTTCTTTAAGCCGTAATTTTTCGGGTGGGTGAAAGGTAATGGAAAACCCTCAATCTTACTATTGTTTTGCTCAACTGAGCCTGCGCAGTTCAAAATATTAACGGTATGGAAACCGTGTTACATTCTCTTTCTCCAAGAGCAGCACCTGAAAATTCATAACATTAGTTCTTGAGTAATAAATATACATAGCTTTATAAACACAGCTTTTTTAAAAAAATTTCATGGATATATATATAAAATGCTATATAAATTTGGTATTATTTAGATAAGAAAAGGTTAATATAATATATTAAATCAATATGCCGTGCAGTCTCACTGCTTTTCCTCTTCTTCGTTAAAGCTTGGTGGGGTTGTACCACGCTTTTATTTGTTTCTCGGTCAATCTAGTGGCATTAATTACCTCTCTTGCTGTCCCATTTAAGTAAGGATCAAGCTTGTTTTTTTTATTTGTTTGCTTTTTCGTTGCATATTTTTGTTATTGCATATAGGATTCAATTCCTGACCTATATACAAAACTTACCTCGGACGACGATTTGAGCCGCCTTGTCTAAAATCTTTTTCAAATTTAATGTGCCAAAATTTTTAGGATGTTTGAATTGGCCGAGGGGAAAACCCTCGACCAAAATTTTCCCATCCCCGTACTTTTTGTAAGGGAATTTAATTTTGTCTTGTCCAATCGGCAGCACCTCATTTTAAATAATATAAAAATATAATATTTAAGTTTTATATATGCATCATAAAAAAAAATCACTTGTACGATAATAAATTCTCTTAACAAAACAAAAGATATGCTTAAAAAAAATGTTAATGATAATTTACGACTTGCAGTAAGTAGTTATTCTGGCATAATACATTAATTCCTTTGTTTGAATATAACTGCGAAACCCTCAGCTGAGTCTATTTAGCGGTTGGGTTTTTCATATGGAAACCTTTATTTTATTTTCTTACCTTAATTTTCTTTTTTGCAATTAATGAATTTGTTTAAAATCATTATATTATTTGTTTTACCAGTTTTGGATGTTTGAATGCCAGCGGGAAATTACCCTCAGCTGAGCCGGTTTGGCAGTCGGTATTCATTCTCTATTTTTCCCGAAGTTGTTTTTGTTTCGCATAATTCATTTATATCATAGAAATGATATAACGAAATAACTTAATTAAAGACACAGATATTTAAACAGAATATAGTTGAAAAAAGCCTAGCGGAAGCCCGCATTTTTAAGAGAATCCAAACACTTGTCCAGATTCTCCATCACCTTTCTTTTTTTGGTAGAATTTTCTTCTGTTTTTTATTTTTATTGCTTCAGTTGCTGGCTCCACTGCCTAAACTAATAGAAGAAATTAAGAAATTAAATATAATTAAAAAATTCTAAACAACTGTCCAGTTTCTCCATCACTTAGTTTTTGTTTTTGAGGAATGTTCTTCTTTGTTTCATTTTTATTAGTTCAGTTGCTGGCTCAACTGCCTAAATTAAAAGAAGAAATTAAGAAACTTAATTCAATATAATTAAAAAAATTCTAAACAACTGTCCAGTTCTCCATCACTATGGAATTTTCACTGAAAAAACGTTCGTTCTCCTTCATGCTTTTAATTTTGAGGGGTTCAGTAGCTGGCTCCACTGTTAAATTAGGTATAATGAAATATAATAATAATTAATGTAATAAAATGAAATATAATAAAATATAATAATAATTACTTCCTTTATATGTGAAGTAATATCTTCTCTGGTACTTTCCAACGCCTGCAGGAAATCCATGCAAATTCGGATTTTGTTCTCCACTTGAACTTCTACTATTGAAAATTTCTTTCTGCTTTTTATTGCTAGCAGGTTTGTAGCTGGCTCCACTGCCTAAAGTAAGAAATATTATATGCCTTAATTAAATGTCATAGAATGGTTTTCAAAAACACGTGAAATACACTTTAGCGTATTACACTTAATACACTATTGTCCGCATTTTCTTTTGATTTTCTTTTGTGTTTTCACGGTGTTACAATTTATTACACCTTATTTATTACACTTTGTTTCACGGGTTTTTAAAAACCACTATATACAATGACTATAAAATGAAAAAGAAAAAGATTGATATATAATGAAATATCATAAAATATAATAACTACTTCTCATATATGTGCATTACAAAAAATGCACTTACATATAATAATACGTGCCGGTTCAAGTCCAGCAGCCACATGCAATTCTCTTATCCTAAAACAAATATACCCTTAAAAATGAAAATGCGTTACTAATAATCAATAGTGGAAAAAAAAAAACTTATGCAAATTACAAATTATAAAAAATACAAATTATTGATCGAGTCGTTCTAGTAAACCCTTGGCAATACAATTCCGTTATCAAATAACAACTATTAGACGAAAAACTGTCTCCTTCTCTGTTCTTTTGCAAACTGAATGGACACTATATCCGTATAGAGTGCTAAGGTTTATTGGAATGACTGCGCCATGAAGATGTCACAGGACATCATTATATTATCAGTGAAATTGAATATGTACTAGAGACTATATAAGCCAATAAAAATAAAGTTTGAACAAAATGACTAATGAATCGTTCATATTTATCCGCTTTATTATTATTCCATTCTTCCTTCTCCCTTTCCTTTTACTTGACTTTCAGATTTTATCAAATCCTCTCTCCCAGTTTTTCTTTACTCTCTACTTTAAATTATACCGCTAGAAGGGAATAAAACCAGCTTTTTCTTGGTGTTACAAGGCAACCGAGCCACAAAGACAATAAAACAATAGCTTAGGATAATGAATTTGGATTTAAACAATACCGTGCAGACTTCCATAAATTGAACAAAGGATATACGACTCCGTCTCTGGTTTCTGGCTTTCCTTTCTTTTCTCTTGAGTCTTATATTTCCTTTCATTTTCCTTCCTTTTTTCCTTTCCTTTGTTTCTATGTTTCTTTCTATCACGCTCCCGCCACGTAAACGACATTTTCTGCAAAACTACTCAGCATCATTAAGGCATGGCTCTCAGATGAAAAACTGATTAGCTATATCAAAGCCAGTTTTCTACGAATCTTCCCCAAACTTGGCAAGTTAATGTCTTTTGTGAAAAGAAGGAACCTTAGAGACTTGGTTACCATGGAAACTAAGTCACGTGACCACAAGGCCGCCATCTTGAATTTTTAAACAAGCCGTTTGTAAACGTACCAAAACATCTTTAAAAGTCATGAAAATGCAGATTACTATTCATATTTACAATGCCTACAAACGATTTTTWAAAAAAATCCAAGATGGCGGACCTTGTGGTCACGTGACCTGGTTTCCATGGTAACAGATATGCGGTAATTGCTTGCCTTGAAGAATTACTACTACGAGCCAAATTTGGGAAAGATTCATAGTAAACTGTCAAAGATGTGAATAAATAACTGATTTTCCATCACTTCCTCAAAAGAGCCATGCCTTAATGGTGCTGAGTACGTCGACAAAAAGAAATATACTTTGCTACACGCTGATGAGGGATATACTTCTAAAGGCCGGTTTTCTCGGTCAGCGGTCAGCATGGCGGCAAGACGTGTATTTTTGAGCTCCGCCATTTTATTACTTCTCTTGGGATTTTCGTTGTCTTTTGAACTTTCTGATCAAATTTCTGATTACCAGAAGTTCGGAGTGTCGTTTATTATTAACCATGGCTTGCTTATCAGTGGAAGGACGGCTTATTTTCTTGCTGGTTACGATTATTTGACAAGACCACGTGGAAGAAAGTACTTTTCTACTCGAATTTGCCGTTATCCCAATGCTCAAATTACTTTTAATTTGAATAGACTTGCTACTAGTGGTGATATCAACCCTAATCCAGGGCCTATCTTCTCAGGGAACAGTACTAATACCTTGTGTTCTGTTTGTATGAAGACTGTGGCCAAGACTCATCGAGCAATTGAATGTGACTTATGTTTCAAGTGGTGTCACATCAAATGTGGCGGCGTCTCACCTACTGAATATAGAAACCTGCAAAATACCCTAAATTTTGCTTGGACATGCCCTACATGTATATTGGATCTACAGTCGTTAC